AAAGATGGGGATACCTGCCCCTCCCTGTCTGGAATGCGGGGCCCAGGAAGGAAGAGGCACAAGGAGGGTTCTTCGGGATGCTGTCTTCCCCGAGGCTCAATGCACCACTGTCTGTTTCCTCTTCCTCTTTCACTTTCCCGTGTATGAATGACTTTTGCAATCAAGAAAGGGGGTTGTGCAAGAGATGTAGGAGGTTTCCCGGCCTGGAAATGCCTCCAAAAATGTGTTTGCTTTTATATTTATGTGTTCCCTTTGTTCCTCACATTCTGAGATGCAGGGTGGGCCTGGGGCTCAGTTCAGACCATGTCCCTGCCCTCTTTGCATCTAGAACCAAGTGGAGATTTAGAGATGTCACAGAACTGGCCAATTTACCTGGTACCGGGACTGAGATGCAAACACGACTGGGTTAGCTGAAAAGCAGCCAGTCCATGATACAGCACAGTCCTGTGCCTAAAGACTGCAGAAAGACAGGCGAGATCTTTTGCAGAATTCACAAAACAAGCTGGCCAGAATAATACTTTCCAAACTATGCAGTGTGTCCCTAGAAACAAAGTGGAGAGGAGTACGGTGCCCGGGATGGACAGTCCTACCCAGGCTTCCCTTTGGATCCCAGCTATAAGCGGAAAGACTAGTAAACAATGAAGCATCAACCAGATTCCACCGCCCCTGGCTCCCCTCTGTGGAAGAGCCAGGTGTAGGGTATGGAAGGGCGACACCTGCTGGTTTGAGAATGCTTGGCTGGGGCTGGTTCTTTCATATGTGGTCTTGCGCTGCCATCTGCTGGTCTGATATGGGCGCATTCAGAAGTCAGCAGTCAGCTTCCTCGAACAATCCACAGATCTACTGAGACAGGAAGGCAGGGATCAGACAGTGAGGTCTATGAGTTCTACCCTTTCTGCACACTCAAGTCTTACCACCAGGAGTGGTGGTGCATGCCTGTAATCTCAGCTACTCAGGAAACCGAGGCAGGAGGATCTCAAGGTCAGTGCCAGCATGGCAATTTAGCAAGACTCCACCCACCTCAAAACAAAACAAACCAAAACAAAGCAACAGATAGTAGAATTCACATTTTGAGGATTTTAAGCAAACATTGGTTTGTTCATATTTTCAAAAGTTGTAAACTTTTTGTATGTTTGCTGAGACTTGTTTTCTATGGTTTAAAACCATGGTTTCTGCTGGGCCTGGTGGTAGACCCCTGTAACACCAGTGCTCCAGAGGCTGAGGCAGGAGGATTACCGTGAGTTTGAGGCTGGCGTATTCTACATAGTGATTTCAAGACCAGCCTGAGCAGCACAGTGAGACTTTGTCTCAATAAAAAACCAAAATAAATAAGTTAATTAAAAAATAAAATCATGACTTCCTGTGTGATAGCCTAGAGGTCCCACTATATGCTTACTTTTGGAAATAATTTTTAATTTAAAAAATTAGTCTATGCTTGTGAGATATAAACAATACATCCCTTGTGAGGAATTGGTACACACACGCATCACATCTTGGTCTTTTTTATTTCCCCTTCCTCTCCCCTCCCTCCTTCCCAGATCCCCTGCCCATCTCCACAAAGTCTCTCTCCCCATTTCCTATCATCCGATGTCTTTTGTTTTGCTCTTTAGATTATTTATACTTTGGGTTTCTCAACTAAAAGAAGCCACGTGGGGCTGGGGATTTAGCGCAGTGCTTCCACTGCCTGCTTTGCAAGTGCAAGGTCCTGAGTTCAATCCCTGGTACCAAACAACAACAACAACAAAAGAGAAGCCATGTGATATTTAACCTTCGGTGTCTGGTTAATTTCACTTAGCATTATGGACTCAAGGTGCATTAATTTTCCTACAAATGACTCGAGTTTAGCCTTCTTTGTGGCACAGTTGTGTATAAATACCGCATCTTCTTTACCCATTCATGTTATGGGTATACAGTCTGCTTTTGAGATTCAGCTCTTATGAGTTGTGTTGCTAGAAACATGAGTGTGTATCTATCACTGTAACATGCTGTCTTGAACTCTTTTGGAAAGACATCCAGAGAGGCTTAGCTGCTCTAAGGGAATTTCCATTTTTAGTTTTTTGAGGAATCTCCACACTGATTTCCATAGTGGTTGTACTAGTTTACATCCCTACCAACAATGTAGTAGGTAGGGCTCCTTTGTCCCCACAATGTCATCAGTGTTTGTTGATTTTTTGAGTTCTTGATGATGGCCATTCTTTCTGGAGAAAGATGGACTCTGAGGGCTGGTTGATTTGCATTTCTCTAATGACTAGTGGGGTTGAACATTTTTTCATGTACCGCTTGGCCATTCAACTTCTGAAAAGTGTCTATTCACTTCAATTGCCCCGTTCCTAAAATTGGGACTTTTATTCTGAGGGGTTTGACTTTAGTTCTCTACCTATCCCAGGTATGGGTCTTCTGAGGAAGAACCTCAAAAGTTTTTTTCCCATTCTGTAGGTTGTCTCTTCACACTGTTGTTTGTTTCCTTTGCTCTGTAGCTTTTAAATTCGATATGATCCCATTTGTTGATTGTTAGCGCTATTTTTTATGCAGTTGGGATCCTTTTCAGAGATTCCTTGCCTGTGACTTCAAGCATTTAACTTATTTTATCTTGCAGCAGATTCAGTGTTTCTGTTTTTGTATCTAGGCCTTTGATCCTTTTTGATTGGACTTTAGAACAGGGTGGGAGATATGGTCCAGATTCATTCTTCTGCATGTGGATAACTGGTTTCCTCAGCACTATTTCATAAAGAGCTTTTCTCCAGCTCTTTACCTCTTTGTTGAAGATCAGATCAGATCATTGAATGCACCCAGGGCTATTTCTGCATCCTCAATTACATTCTATTGATCCACATGTCTGTTTTTGTGCTGGTACCATGTTGCTTTGATCACTGTAGCTTTGTAATAAAACTTGAAACCTGGGCTTGTGGAACCTCCCACTTCGCTCTTGTTGCTCGGGACTACTTTGGTGTCTTCTGGTTCCCCCAAAATTTTAGGATTTTTTTTTTTAGTTCTATGAAGAATGCTGTTGATATAAATCATTTTTTGTAATACATCCATTTGACAGTATGGGTTTCACCTATCCAGGATCTGGGGACATCTTTCCATTCCCTGGTGTCCTCTTCAATTTCTTTCTGTTTTTCACAGCAAAGTAGTTTTCTTGTAGAGAACTTTCACCTCCTTGGTTAGGTTGATTCTTTAGTTTTTTTTGAAGCTACTGTGAATGGGATTATTTTCCTGGTTTCAACGTTGGCTTATAGGAATGCTATATTTTGGTATTGGTTTTATATCTTGCTACTTTACTTGCTACTTGTTTGTTAGTTCTAAGAGTCTTTCAGTGGAATTTTGGGGGGGGTGTTTAATGTAAAGGACCATGTCATCTACAATAAGGATAGCTTGACTTTTTCTTTTTCTATACATATCCCTTTCATTTTCTCTCTTTTCTGATTACTCCAGCTACATTTTTCAGTACTGTGTTGAACAGTGGTAAGAGTGGATACCGCCATCTTCCTCTGGATTTTAGAGAAAAAGTTCAGTTGTTCCCCATTTAAGTTGGTGTTACAGTGGGTTTATCATAAATGACCTTTATCAGTTTGAGATAAGGTCCTTCTACACCTTTTTTTTTTTAATCACAGTTTTTTATCATAAAAATTACACCCACCTTACATCTCTGGGAGGAAGCCATCTTGGTCACGAAGTATCATTTTGTTACTGGCTTGTAGCATTGTGTAGGGGAAATTTTCTGGTGGAGGATATTTACTTATATGTTCATGAAGGGGATTGTCCAATAGTTTTCTTCTGTTTGTTGAGTCTGTCTCGTTTTGGTATCAGGGCAATGCTGGCTTCCAGGAATGAGTTTGGCAGTTTCCCTTCCCTTTCAATTTCATGAAAGAGCTTGAGGAGTATTAGTGTTAGCTCTTCCCTGAAGTTCTGGTAGAATTGTGCAATGAAACCATCAGGTCCTGGGCTCTTCTTAGTCTGTAAATTTAAATTTCTGCCTCTAGTTTGTTGCTTGTGATTGGTCTAATCAGTTTGTATACCTTCTTGGTTCAATTTTGGTAATTCATATGTGTTTAGGAGTTTATTTCTTCCAGATTCTCTAACTTATTGTGATATAAGATTTTGAAATAGCATCCTATAATCCTCTGGGTTTCAGTGGTGTTGCTTGTGATCTCCCTGTTCTCATGTCTAATTGCACTGATATGGGGTATCTTTTTCTTCTTCTTTTAGTAAAATTGGCTAAGGATGTATTCTTTCAGAGAACCAACTCTTTGATTCATTGATCTTTTGTATTTATTTTTTTAGTTTCAATTTCATTAATTTCCACTCTGATCTTTGTAATTTCTATTTTACTAGTTTTGGATTTGGATTATTGTTTCCCTAGGGCCTTTAGCTGCATCATTGGGTTAGTTATTTGGGACTGGTCTATTCTTTTAATTAGTGCATTCACAGCTACAAACTTCCTTCTCAGGAATGCTTTTGTTATGCCCCACTAGTTGTGTTCCCATTGTCATTTGATTCTACAAACTTAAAATTTCTCCCTTGATTTTTTTCTGTGACCTATTGATTATTCAATAGTATTTAATCTCTATGTGTTTTTATTTTTATAGAAAATCAGTATTTTATGCTTTTAGAAATTTCACTTTGTTCCAGATGTGTGTGTGTGCGTGTATGTGTGTGTGTTTGCTTAAAAGTATTAAGGTAACCTCTTTAGTTGAGAAGCATGAAGTGGCAGAAGAAACCACCAATCCCACCAACCACCCCTGATTGCAGCGGGGTGGTGCTGCTCAGGATTCATTGCTATGAGGTCCTCAGTGCTCCTGAGGTGGGTGGGCACCTGAGTTTCCAGGGTCCCTGACTAGCGGTGAGGCCCCAGACCTGATGCAGTCACCTATGCGTCAGCTCACTGTGCCCCTCCGCTTTGGGAGAGGCCAAGTGTCACGACTTTGATTTTAGAACACACTTCTGCTTCCTCACTAGCTTTGCCTGGCCAGGGCACCTGACTCATTGATCCCCCAAAGCTGAGCTTGGTCACCTTTCCTTCCACTTCCGCTGTTTCTATTTTGCCTCTTCAAGGGGTCCTTGCGGGACTCTACTTGAACATTCTACTTATCTCCTTCAGCACACTTGCTTCATCTGCCATAACTGCGTTTATCATACCCTCACCATTAAGTGTCACCCCATTCGTCAAATCGCCCTGCTGGATTCCCAGCGCCTACGGAGCATTTATTTATCAACACATGAGGGAACAAACGACCACAGAAATGTACTGAGAGGTGAATGGCACCACTGGCAATCCATGCAAGTCCAAAATAGGAAGCTCACTCCATAGGCAGAAGGAAGTCCCGTCTGTGACCCACAGAGAGGGCTGGAGCCGGAAGCAGCCAGGGCTGCACTCCCACCGTGGACTCACACGGAGTCGCATCGGTCCCCTCCCTCCACACGGAGCAACAGCAGGAATCACAGATCACGGAACCACTGCTTCTGCTCAGGAGAGCCCTGGGAAAGGCAGGTGGCACAAGCCTGGTTCATCAGGGGCCACCATGCCATCTGGGCGCGGTTCTAGCCCAGCAGCTGCAAGCACCAGGCTTCCTGTTGCTCCCAGTCCTCCTCTTGCAGAGGCTCCCACCCGGCTCTGAGGAGCGCATATCAACACCCCTACTTTGCAAGAGGAAAGACAGGGAAGGACGTGACTGGCTTTCCAGAGTCTCTGCCTCCATTTCCTCAACAGACTTGCAGAGCCGGCGCGGAGCCAGAGAAACGAACCTCAGCACCATGGTGTTCGCGAGGAATCGGTGGCTAGGGAAGCTGGACAGAGCAGGCCGGAGGTAGTGAGGGTGGAACACCTGCTGGGCTCCGGGAGCTGACTGAGGAGCCCCTGTGCGGCACGCTGTGCCTCTGCCGGGCAGGACACCGAGAGGAGAGGACCCACCCCGGGGAACAAGGCCGAGTCCGAATGAAACGCTCAGGGACTCGCTCAGGGCAGGCTGATCTGGGGGCTCTTCAGGAAGAAGGCCAGCTTTTGGGCCAGGGCGTCCAGGTCGCCCGAGCTGGCGGAATGAAGCAGGTTGCTCCTGGGGGCGAAGTAGTGCTTGAGGAAGCGCTGGCTCACGCACTTGTGCAGCTTGCGCACCAGGCGCCGGAGGGCGCTCTCCAAGTCCTGCCAGTCCTTCCGGTGGGGATACTTCTCACAGGTCCAGAACAGCACCATCTGGGGAGGAAGCAGGGGCCGTCAGACCTCACTCGGCTGGCCAGGAGAGGAGCGGAGTTTGCCCGGCCTTAGAAGGAGGGGAAAGGCGGCGCCCAGGGAAACTGGATCCACCTGGGACTCCGGATCCCAGCCTGGAGGGCGCTCTCACTCTTGCCCAGCCGGTCTCCTACGCCTCCTCATTACCGTGCTCTCCCTGTCCTCCGACATTTCCAGGGATCGCACGCTCTTTAAATTACAAACCCCACTCCAGGCAGATGCTTCCGCCTCCTTCTCTACAGTCACTCAGACGTCCTCATCTCCCCAAACCAGACAGTTCTGCCACACGCGCATCCGCCTCCCTTGCCTTCCCAGGACTCCAGGCCCTGCTTCCCAGGAACTGCAGGGCTAACCGCCCTCTACCCTCCGTGACCCTCCCGCCCG